GGTCTGAGTCGGAGCGGGGGGAGCGCCCCCTGCCCAAGGCACCAGCGGCGGCTGGGGCCGAGCCGCACACCAAGGACACGGGGACCGGCACCGCCAGCAAACCCCACAGCGGCTGCAGTGCCTTTGGCTCCATTAATGCCAGGACTAGTAGTGAAATAGCAAAGGAGCTGGAGGAACAGTTTTACACCCTGGTTCCTTTCGGTAGGAATGAGCTCCTGTCTCCTCTGAAAGACAGTGATGAGGTAAAGTCACTGTGGGTCAACATTGACTTGGCTCTTTTGTCCAGGATTCCAGAGCGTTTGCCCGAAGAGCCACTGGCCATGAGCGCCGGAGCAAACCAAGCGGCCAGCCTCCCGCAGAGTAGTAGTGCTGACCCCCCTGCAGAGAAGGGTTTACCAAAATCTAGAAGGAAACGCAAGGTGAGCTTCGGGAGGACCGATCGGGGCGGGTAGGGGGGCCTCCGGCAAGTGGGAGGCAAGCATCGCTTGCGCCCGTGTCCAGTGCTCGATGTCAGTGTCTTCTCTAGACCAGTGCTTCGGAGCTGGGCTTTGTCCCTGCTTGCTGCGTAGAAACTGGCCAAGCCTCAGGGGAGATGCCATTCCAGGAGGTGATGAAAGTCCTGGCTGCGAGGGATCACAGCCCCTTGGAGACAGCGTTTGCTGCTGGCACGCAGCTTTCCACATCTTAGCAAAGATACTGCCTTTTAGTAGGATAGTATTCTCTCAGGAGGCTTCTCTCAAAACCTGAGCATTTGGAGGTGATGCTTAGGTCGGCAAAGGGAATATAAACAGCTATCTTGTCACGGTCTGCACGGTATCACTGCATGTGTCGAAAAAGGAGAGGCAACGTCTTTTTCCCCCTCAGATTGTCAACAAGAGGCGAGTCCTTCAGTCCCAGCAGGGAGCCCTGGCTTCATGGGGTATGCACTCGCAGAGACCTGGGACCTGCCTGGCTCTGCAAACTACCTCCCTCGCACCCCCATGGCCCCCTTTTACCTCAGGGCTCTCATACAGCTGTAAGAAGTGGGGGTGTAGTCCATTAGCTGCCCCCTCCCCAGCAGCACCGTCACAGCAGCCAGGTGGGCACAGCCCTCCGGTCACATCCACCCCTCCGCCCTGCTTCTCCCGCTTTCTGAGCTGCTGGTGGTGCCGGGGAGAAAGCCCCCTCCAGCCCACGGCCACAGATGTCCACCGAGGAGGCTTTCTGGTCCATTTGTACTGATCTGACCGCAAAAGTCACTCTGAACTGGAATCGCCATCTGCCCAATTTCTGGACAGTTTTACTGTGCAGTCATCTGTTGCCCTCTGAGGTACTGTATGTGTGCAGATTGATCTGTACATTTTGGGGGACCATTTATCTAAAGCAGTCTTTCCTTTTTTTATCTTTTTTCATTTTTGGGGGTTTTTTTTAGTATCTGAAAGGTGGCAGTATCTGTTTGATGCGTTTGTCTGCATTTTCTTTAGGAAGTAGCATGGAAGTGATTGCACAGTACAAAATGATGGGGAACAGGCCAAGAAAGAGTGGCAGAAGCAAAAGATTTATGTTTTGCGCCATAGGAGATGCCAGCGTGATAGTGCCAGGCTGTGCACACAGAAGGAAGCAGGAGGACACAATAGAAGAGCAAAATAAATGCAGTCACGCTAGAAATGCTTAATCCGACTTTCTGTGGCACATATTATCTTTTACTCTTCTGTCTTAAAGCATTGCTGTTGTTGGTGGTTTTAGTGATATAATAAATACAAGGCATTCCT